ATTGTGCAGCTGACAGATCCAGTGATTCTGGTTGAGACTGGTTTGATATACATGCTGTCAGTTTACCACGATGGGAGTGTTGTCTGTCACCTCCCTGCTTCCTCTGCCTGAATCCATCATCTTCTCTCCATCAAAATCAGCCGAGTGAAAATCAGTCTGTCACAAAAGAGGATACACACACACGCACACAATTGAGATTGTGGAAAGACAAAGTGGCAGTGAAGGAGTGAAAATGATAGGAAAGGGGGAGAAAGAGTGACAGCTGAGGTGAAGGAATGACAGAGAGAGGAAGGGCGGAGATCGCGGAGAGACGGCTGAGGAATGATAGCCAAGGTCGGGAGGAAATGTATGTGAGGAGAGAGATAAAGGGCTCAGATACACGGTGAGCAAACAAATAGACGGAGAGTAGACATCGGCAGAAGAGTGGAGCTGTCAGAAGTATTATCACCAGAACCCCTTCCTTTCACCACATCACCCCGGTTCTCCAGCAGCTTCACTGGCTCCCAGTTAAATTCAGGTCCATCTTCAAAATTCTTCTCCATACCTTCAAAGCCATCCATAACCTCTCTCCTCCATATATCTCACACCTTATAAGTGTTAACACCCCCTCCCGTTCTCTCAGATCTTCTTCCTCCCTCTATCTTGCTGTTCCTTCTGCCCGTCTCACTACCATGGGGAGCAGAGCTTTCAGCCGCTCTGCTCCCCGTCTCTGGAACTCACTCCCCCCAGACATCAGGAACATCGACAGTTTCACCCTTTTCAAAACCAGACTCAAAACACATATGTTTAAATCTGCCTATGACCTCTGATTTTGTTTCTCTATTTGTTGTTTCTTCTTTGCGTTTTATTGCTGTTTTAATGTATTTTCTGTCAAGTGACTTTGGGTGTTCTGAAAGGCGCTTTTAAATAAAATGTATTATTATTATCATTATTATTATGAGAAGATGCTATCGCACGAGGAGCGATCCAGGGAAATACAGCAAGGTAGACGATGCTGTGAGATGTAAGAGAGGAAGAGTCTGCAGCGGGGAGATTTAAAGAGACTGAAAGGTCAAAGAGACCAGAGAAACCCAGTGGATGATTCACGGAGTTCAGCCAATCTAACTTGTGCTTGAGGGTTTGATGCAGCCTGCCAACAGCTTTTCTCCCCTACTGCTTCCCTCACCTACACACCCACTCCTGTCTGTAAGCGTTAGACACACGTTTGCACCGCTGTGATTGCAGCACTTGTGGCTTCACTCTGTGAGTCCAACTCGGCAGACATTTCTGCAGGAATCCTTGGGTTGTGACTGGGGTTGCTGGAAGCTGCTCTCGCCCCCTCTGATTAGTTATTTGTTTGGATTCATCTCACATGTGCGGTCAGCAAAGTGGTATCATCATCTACGAGTATAGTCTCTTCATCGAATACAATACAAATAAATATCTTTTATTGAATTGAATACTTTTATTTGAATTTTATGATAAATAGAACACTAACCTCCACAACTAATCACTGAACCTTGTCTGGATGTATGTTTGATGAAAGACTGTGTATGTATGTGTGTGCATTTTATATATAATGAGAATAAACTAAAAAAAATAATTTAAATTTTAATATAAAATTGTTTCAGCTCTACAAAATAAATATCTTTTAAGTATTTATAGTTTTCACATAGCTGTTTTCTACAAAACATTCTTCATACTTTTCATTAACATGTTGCACGTTTGCTCCTTTTATTTACATTTGTGCTGAAAGCCACGTCCCTGTGGCGGTTCTTTGTAAAAGAACCTCATGATCGCCAGGCTTTACCTGTCTCCGCTAACGTCAGAGGGGGTGCTGCTTGTAGCTGGAGCAGGTGTTTGAACCGACCATGAGGACGACCTGGAGCATTTGAGGAAAAGCCGTCTTCCTTGTCCTCTGCACAGTAAATGTATCCAGACGCTTGCTCCTCTGACCTCCACTCATGCAAGTGGAGCCAAAAATAAAAGTGCACTAAAACGGGCGGCAAAAGCCTGTTAAGTGATCACCATGACAACAGACCGGCACCGAGAGGCCATACCTCCACCGTGATATCCACTTGGAGGCTGTACCGCCGGACTGCTCGCTTTCTGTCCGCTGCATCTTTTGTGTCCTCAACATCTCCTTTCATCTTCTCCTTAATGCGTCTCCTGGGAGCTTTTTAGGCTAACAGGCAGTCTGTTTTTAAAGCATGTCTACGTTCTCTCTTCCCCATCTGACATATTACTTGTTTATTTTTGCCACACACAACTCTTTTAATCTTAAACCTCCTAATCTCACTGTTATCTATCCTAATCAGCCTTCTCTGATGTAATCCCACTGAGCAGTGACCTAATGAGTCCTCCTCCACCTCCCCTCTCGTGTACCTTTCTCCATCCTGCTCCTTATCAGAGTCTGACGTCATTGTAATCTTATTATAACTTTTAAAAGTGTACAGAAACGCGTGTAGGCTTGCACATGCCAAGATGGTCACATTCAGGTACAGATCCTGGGAACAAGCAGAAAAACCAGAGATAAGGTGGAGATTTTGTTTATCAGAACTGGACTGTAGCTTGTTCTGACAGCTGGCATTAGATCCATAGCTGCTGGCTGAGTAATTATCATGATCTGTGTGATCAGTGTCTTCCCCTCATCGGTCCAACAGCACATGGCCCTTCCTCTCAGCAGCAGCATGAATATTTATCCTCCCCACTTGTTAACATTGTATGAAGCAGGGCCTGTAATTGTCTGTCTTCTCGGTGCGACACGCCGTCTTCTGTGGGATGTGTGAGAAGGTCGAGCCACCGGGGAGCTCGGGTCCTCGCGGCTCTCTTCACTCCAAGTGAGAAAAGTAGTGAGAGGAAATGGGAACAAGGCGAGCGGCGGTATAACCAAAAATACTTTGTCAAGCGCGCCGTGGTGCAGATGTGAATTGGCTGTGGGTTTGTTTCAGGCTTGTAGCGTTTTCTCTAACACGCTCCATTTCAATGATGCATTGCTCTTTTGAGGCAGGGCAGGAATGGAACTCTTTTTCTGAAGATTGCAGAGTTTTCTTTTATTTATTCTGCTCTACGACTGCTGGTTCCAGCTCCTTCTTTTTCTAACTGAGAAATGCTCGTCGTTGTCAGCATATTGACACAGAAAGGAGGCAGTGGTGTAGATTCAAGATGCAGGAGTGTTCCTGTAAATCTAATCCAGTCGTGAGTAGGCGCATTGATTTATTGAACAAGCTTTGTTAGTTTGGAGAAGCCTCGTTTCCCGCTACATTCTAATAAGCTGTGTGCACGTGCGCCTACATGCACTGGGTAATTGTTATCTGAGTCATTGTTTTTCAGGATAAATGTAAGTGATCTGGAGCAAGTTCTACTCTTCCTGAAGTTTAATTTTCTTCTTGCAGCTTCATTTTGTGTACATTCTTTTTGCAGTAGTTGCAATCTATTTTATTATTTCTTTTTGGTTTTTCTAACTTTTAAATATATGAAGAATGAAGTGGGCAAAGCATCTGTTTAACAGGTCTGGCAATAAGTACACGTTTTGTGCAACCAATTATCTCCTCTGAATTGTATAAAATCAAAACATTTGAAGCTATTTATTCTCCATGTAAAGATTTAAATGGGTGTGTCATCAGACAGTGACTGTTGGTGAGGAGATGGAGACACAAAATTGCAGTAAAATTTGTAAATCTCCCTAGTCATACGTATAGGACATTAGTGACTTGTTTTTTATATGGTCAGGTCATATGGGGCACATTAAGTAATAGGGATGTAAGAAAATGTCGATACAGCAATATATCGTGATATTTTTCCTGCGATATTATATCAATATTCAAAAGCCCTGTATCAAATTTTGAGAAGAATTTACTTGCTGATGATACTCTTATTTTATTTGTCTTGATACCTGGTAATCTACACTCACTGGCCACTTTACTGGGTATGCCTTGCTAGTACTGGGTTGGACATCCTTTTGCCTTCAGAACTGCCTTAATCCTTCGTGGTGTAGATTCAACAAGGTACTGGAAACATTCAGTTGCAGCGATGATCAGTTGTTACAAGGCAGGATGTATCCATGCTTTCATGTTGTTGATGCCAAATTCTGGCCCAACCATCGTAATGTTGCAGCAATAGTCAAGACTCATCAGACCAGGCAATATATTTCCAATATTCTATTGTCCAATTTTGGTGAGCCTGTTCAAATTGTAGCCTCAGTTTCAGGTTCTTAGCAGACAGGAGTGGCACCCGTTGTGGTCTTTTGCTGCTGTATCTGCCTCAAGTTTCAACGTGTTGTATGTTCAGAGATGCTCTTCTGTATACCTTGATTTAACGAGTGGTTATTTGAGTAACTGTTGCCTTTCTATCAGCTCGAACCAGTATGACCATTCTCCTCTGACCTCCACAAGGCCTTTTCACCCACAGAACTGCCACTCACTGGATGTTTTCCCTTTTTCGGACCATTCTCTGTAAACCCTAGAGATGGTTGTGCGTGTCAGTCCCAGAAGATCAGCAGTTTCTTAAATACTCAGATCAGCCCATCTGGTACCAACAACCATGCCACGTTCAAAGGCACTTAAATCACCTTCCCCCTTTCTGAAGCTCGGTTTAAACTGCAGTGGATGATCTTGACCATGTTAACATGCCTAAATGCATTGAGTTGCCACCATGTGATTGGCTGATTAGTAATTTGTGTTAACAAACAATTGGACAGGTGTACCCAATAAAGTGGCCAATAAGTGTATACATTTTACTCGTCCTACATATCCACATGGCTAGAAATTAGCTTCTTTGGTGTCAAATTTTCTTGGGTTTTAGTAAAAAAAGAAGTTCTGAAAATCTTCTTGTCTTATGGTTCTTTTGGTGAAAGCACAAAACTGTCTGGTGCTTGAATCGGTGAACTTTTAATGCTTTAAATTTTTGTTCTATTCAGATCAACGATTTCTTGTTTTTATCCAAATCAGTCTGTAATGATGTATTCAAAAAGTGCAACATAAGTAAAACAACTCTATCTGCTTTTTTGTTTGCTTCTCCAGGTATTCGACCCCAAATCATGAACGGGCCAATGCACCCGCGTCCATTGGTGGCACTGCTGGACGGTCGCGACTGCACTGTGGAGATGCCCATCCTGAAAGACTTGGCGACTGTCGCCTTCTGCGACGCTCAGTCAACACAGGAGATCCACGAGAAGGTAGGACGCTCTTACACTTGCAGCTGAAACACACTACATGACTCGTGTTGTTTGCCTCTGTGAGGCGCGCTGGCCTCATGCACATTCGGCAGTTAAAATATAGTGGCTTTGTTATGATTTAATGTCACTTTGTGGTAGAGAGTACGATGCCTGTTTCAGAGCCATTGTTCTAATAGAGTCTTGCATGCCATGGATGCTGTGTAATTACATCGGCGTGTAGAGGTTCTTTATTGCTTTTTGTACAGCACTTCGGCTGCAAAACAATATATATCTACAGAGATGTGTATCACCCAAGTGCTATCTCTTCCTCCGAAGATAGAGCACTGCTGCATCTTTCCCTTTGCTGTCTTTATGAAAATGGGACACATTAAAAAAAGAACCATTTGCATAAAGATCAATTCAATCAAAGACCTTGGGCATGAGAGAGAAGAGGGGGAGTGTGTGGCTTTTTGTTTGTTTTAACGCTACCTTATCAGGAAAAACATGATTGTAATGTTCACCTCACCAGCATATTCAGCAGTTCGCTGTAATAACCTGCAGTCTGGATACCCAGAGGGGTGTTATAGATTGAAAATGCCCAATCTCCATTTTGTGCAGCATGTATGCAGAGATGTAGTGTCGCTAAGTGTGGGATTTTATCATAATGGAGTCAAGGCCGACATCAGCTGCCACACACATCTGCAAGCAATGTAGAAAGTTTTGAAAGAGACTGGTCACGGGGTGGAATGTGGAATTGGCCTTAGGTGATTGCAGGTCTACTGTCAGATATTCATCTGGTGAGGGAGAAATGATGAGATGAAGACAACTACTGAGGAAGAAGACAACGTTCCAGTACAGACCCAGCATGCAGAACCTGTACTCATCATTGATCGCTTTTCCTTAAAATTTTATGGTGTTGGCCCTTTAGAAACATTCTATTGCCACAGCTTCTGTGGTTAGATTTTAAAGAAATTTAATTTTGCACATCAAACTTGTAAAGTTTAAAGGTAAACTCACTTTATATCATTTAAAGGTGTGGTTGACTGAAACCCCCTTTTTTATGATTATTTCTGAAAATAGTCTCCTACTCCTTCCTCCTGCATTAGCTTCTGATAGAAAAAAGCTGGAAAATGCTCAGATTTGAAAATCCTCACAGGTCTACGTCACACTGTCACTTAACATTATTGGACTCACCCATCTTGAGTCAAAGAGAAGGCTGTTGTTGGTTTAGCTTCCAGCATCCAACAGACTACTAGTAAAAGCTAACCCTTCACATTAGCAACTCCACCAAACGGCAGAAGCTCCTCCAGGCTTGTGTTATTTGTGGAGAGGGGTTAGGGATAGGATAAACATCCATGTTGCAAATCAGTGGTAGAGTCATGTTGTTGTTATCCAATCAGAGGTGAGATGTCCAAATATCAGGAAATTCAGGTCCTTCTGAAAAAATAGCATATTGTGATAAAGTTAATTATTTTCTGTAATGTACTGATAAACATTAGACTTTCATATGTATTAGATTCATTACACACAACTGAAGTAGTTCAAGCCTTTTATTGTTTCTAATATTGATGATTGTGACATACAGCTCATGAAAACCCAAAATTCCTATCTCAGAAAATTATCACATCATGAAATGGTTCTCTAAACGAGCTGTTAATCTAATTATCTGAATCAACTGTAACGTGAGGAAATATGGGTTTTCTGTCACAATGGTGGTGTTGGACTCAGCTGTGTCAAAGCTGGGTCGCTGAGAACTTTCACCCACAGATTAAGACCTGAACGCCAGCGAGTCTGGGAGGAAACCATAACATCTGCCACCTGCAGTCTACCAGAAGATGTGTTTACATGAGTTGTACCCAGACCAAGTCAAAACATAAAGTTTAAACTTCTTTTTCTTGATTTTAATGTTAAAATAACCATTATCATTTTGCTCATTATAAATGTGTTTAATCAAATGAATGACTTATGCTTTGGGGTAATTATAATGGTTTAATGAATCCATTCTTAAATAATGTTGAGAATGTTTGTTACTGACCTTCACACACACTCAAGCACAAACATTCACACACATCCACACACACCTGCTCACAGTAAACTCCAGACACATTTGATGACGCACGTTTGCTTTGAGAAGAGAAAGGTTTTTGGTAAGTTTTCAGTCTTTTGATTCAGTTCGTGTTGGACAACGAGAGAGAACAGACCTGAAAACCAAAGGGGGGGCAGAGCCGGCTGGCTCGTTCTTCCCCCCTTTCACGCTGTTTCTGCCACGCCAGGCAGAATAGCTGAATCGCAACTTCTAACGCAGACTCATTACCGAGTCTTTTAATATCTGAGTGTCTGTGTTTCAGTTCAATGAGGAAACCAGTTTGACGTTTAAAAGTTTTAATTCTTCAAATTAAACTAATGATTTTGAAATTGACAAACAGGAAATACAATCAACATTAGTCACTTTGTGGGACAATCTCTTTAACAGTTGATATGCTGTTCTGGCTCAAATAGACCTTCTGATGAATTTATGAAGATTGAGAATGTTGTGATGGTGAGAGTGATATGAGCTGGGATGGGTGCGTGAGTGCATCTGATTTTGCTTCAGGAAGAACCAGGTGTCTGAGTGAAAAGTGATGGTTTGAATAAACTTAGGCTCTTAGTTGGAAAAGATGCATCAAAACGCTAAACACCGTGTTCTGTCTCACCGAATTCTTTTGGACCCTCTTTCGGATCCGGGGCGTCACCTTAGGATGTTTCATCCAGGGCACCTTGGCTGGCAGAAAAGACAAAGATGCGCTGCGACCCGGTCCAGAGTTGTCCTCGGTACACGTTGATGGTAAAGCGTTTTGTCGACGCGCTTTCTTAAGTTAATTCACTCAGAAATCAAAAGACTCGGTAATGAGTCTGCGTTAGAAGTTGCGATTCAGCTATTCTGCCTGGCGTGGCAGAAACAGCGTGAAAGGGGGGAAGAACGAGCCAGCCGGCTCTGCCCCCCCTTTGGTTTTCAGGTCTGTTCTCTCTCGTTGTCCAACACGAACTGAATCAAAAGACTGAAAACTTACCAAAAACCTTTCTCTTCTCAAAGCAAACGTGCGTCATCAAATGTGTCTGGAGTTTACTGTGAGCAGGTGTGTGTGGATGTGTGTGAATGTTTGTGCTTGAGTGTGTGTGAAGGTCAGTAACAAACATTCTCAACATTATTTAAGAATGGATTCATTAAACCATTATAATTACCCCAAAGCATAAGTCATTCATTTGATTAAACACATTTATAATGAGCAAAATGATAATGGTTATTTTAACATTAAAATCAAGAAAAAGAAGTTTAAACTTTATGTTTTGACTTGGTCTGGGTACAACTCATGTAAACACATCTTCTGGTAGACTGCAGGTGGCAGATGTTATGGTTTCCTCCCAGACTCGCTGGCGTTCAGGTCTTAATCTGTGGGTGAAAGTTCTCAGCGACCCAGCTTTGACACAGCTGAGTCCAACACCACCATTGTGACAGAAAACCCATATTTCCTCACGTTACACAACTAATTAACTCTAAACACCTGCAAAAGATTCCTGAGGCTTTTAAAAAGTCCCAGCCTGGTTCATTACTCAAAACCGCAATCATGGGTAAGACTGCCGACCTGACTGTTGTCACTGTCAGCTTGCATGTGAGGTGGACAGCGAGCTGAAGATTTGGAGAGTTTAATTCAGATAATCGGTTGTGTTTGCCATCATTGACACCCTCAAGCAAGAAGGAAAGACATTTCTGAACGAATAGGCTGTTCCCAGAGTGCTGTATCAAGGCACCTCAGTGGGAAGTCTGTGGGAAGGACAAAGTGTGGCAGAAAACACTGCACAAGAGGAGGTGACCGGTCCCTGAGGAAGATTGTAGAGAAGGACTGATTCCAGACCTTGGGGGACCTGCGGAAGCAGTGGACTGAGTCTGGAGTAGAAACATCCAGAGCCATCGTGTACAGGCATGTGCAGGAAATGGGCAACAAGTGCCGCATTCCCCAGGTCAAGCCACTGTTGAACCAGAAACAGCGGCAGAAGCGCCTAACCTGGGCTACAGAGAAGCAGCACTGGACTGTTGCTCAGTGGTCCAATGTACTTTTTTCGGACGAAAGCAAATTTTGCATGTCATTCGGAAATCAAGGTGCCAGGGTCTGGAGGAAGACTGGGCAGAGGGAAATGCCAAAATGCCTGAAGTCCAGTGTCAAGTACCCACAGTCAGTGATGGTCTGGGGTGCCATGTCAGCTGCTGGTGTTGGTCCACTGTGTTTTATCAAGGGCAGGGTCAATGCAGCTAGCTATCAGGAGATTTTGGAGTACTTCATGCTTCCATCTGCTGAAAAGCTTTATGGAGATGAAGATTTCATTTTTCAGCACAACCTGGCACCTGCTCACAGTGCCAAAACCACTGGTAAATGGTTTACTGACCATGGTATTACTGTGCTCAATTGGCCTGCCAACTCTCCTGACCTGAACCCCAGAGAGAATCTGTGGGATATTGTGAAGAGAAAGTTGAGAGACACAACACCCAACACTCTGGATGAGCTTAAGGCCGCTATCGAAGCATCCTGGGCGCCCATAATACCTCAGCAGTGCCACAGGCTGACTGCCTCCATGCCACGCTGCATTGAAGCAGTCATTTCTACAGAAGGATTCCTGACCAAGTATTGAGTGCATAACTGAACATAATTATTTGAAGGTTGACTTTTTTGTATTAAAAACACTTTTCTGTTATTGGTTGGATGACATACGCTAATTTTTTGAGATAGGAATTTTGGGTTTTCATGAGCTGTATCATGATTAGAAACAATAAAAGGCTTGATCTACTTCAGTTGTGTGTAATGAATCTAATATGAAAGTCTAATGTTTATGAGTACATTACAGACAATAATGAACTTCATCACAATATGCAAATTTTTTGAGATGGACCTGTAATGGTACTTACACATTATGGTCAGTACGGTCAGGGGAGGAAAGCATCAGTTCGGTCTCGAACGGGCTGTGTAGTGTTCACATGTAATTCCGAA